GATCACAGGTCACAGAGAGAGGGATTCCATCCCCGCTGATTACGGGGTCTGCCTGGAGGACTGGGTGGAGGTGTCTCTGTGGCTGCATCCAGGCTTTTGGCTGCAAAGAATGCTGTGATCAATTAGTGATGCCTTACAAGAGCACAGGAGGGGCGAATGGGAGCATACGAGTCCTTTATGAGCAATCTCCTGATGACAGGGACCTGTATGGGTTTTGACAGTCTACGGCTGTTCTCAAGGAAAAAAAAAATGAAATGAATATCCCAAGTGTCTGGTGTGGCCAAGGATAAACACAGATTAAAAGGAGCTTTTAGAAGAACCGGAACCAGCAACAGATTCCACTGTGCTCTGCGTTGCATCTACAGCTTTCATACCACCCTCCTCTGGTATGCATTACATAATGGTGCCCCTAAACCACCTTTTGTACCCTAACTCGAGGCTCTCAAACCTTAGCTTACAAATGAATTTTTCTAGGGTAATGTGTGCCAGCCAGTGGTTTACTCTTGGCAGCTAAATACGTCTGCACTCAGGTCTTTGGGCAATTCATTTGAATATTTTATTTCCTTTATGGTTTTGTAAAAGGAGTATAAAAATGAAGTTGTGGATTCCAGTGGAGGGAATGTGGCTCTGCTAAAAGTAATTGAAAAAGCAAGAGCATTCATTTAGACCTCTAAACAATAGAACTGCTTCAAAAATAATCATCAGCCACTTAATGAACCATGTCACTGTAGTGGTCAAGGAGTCACTTATGTAGGTTGCCTGGGCACGGCCTGGGTACATTTAGCCAGGGTCATAAGTGACCCCCCGCCACCTACCAACACCCTTGACACCCAGTCCACTCCATGGAGTCTGGGCAGAGCAAAACTGGCAAGGTTAGTCACATTAAGGCAGTCTTGCAGGTGAAGGACAAATCTCTTAAGATTTTGAGTAGGGGCTGGGGATGTGGCTCAAGCGGTAGTGCGCTTGCCTGGCATGCGTGCGGCCCAGGTTCGATCCTCAGCACCACATACAAACAAAGATGTTGTGTCCACCGAAAACTTAAAAAAAAATAAATATTAAAATTCTCTCTCTCTAAAATAAAAAAGATTTTGAGTTGTTCCTGTGTTTGTCATGGTAATGTTCTGTTCCTGAAATTGTCTGAGCATGGGAGGTTAAGGTGGCTAAGGTGGAGAGATATCATGAATCTGGAAGAGGTCAGCTCCTGGCCATTGTGGATAAATTAATCTGTCACACGACAGAGCAACTGGAAATTATTCTGTGAAAGCAACAAATTGTTAGCCTCAACCTGTCTTTTTGTCAAGTTAAGCTCACTGACTGGGGACTGGCATTCATCTTGGAGGAAAACAAAATCAAAAATTGATATGAGATGCTGAAGATCTATCCTAGCTAGTGCCTAGAGAGCCTAATGAAAGTGGAGATTGTATAGTACTGGGCAGGAACCATCAAGCATTTATTGGTTGCTGGCCTCTTATTTATTATTAATATCAATTGCTGACCTCTTTTTTATTATAAATATCAATTGCTCTTCTATGTTTGGCTTGTGTGCCCCTTTTCTGGCTCATATATGACAGCAAGAAATTATGTTGAATATGTGACATGTCAGTTGAACTAATGGTTGACTTGGAAACAGGGATGCAGGAGTTGGTGGCTCTAGGGACAATGCCATCATTGTCGTTGATTATAGAAGTGGGTGGATAAAATGATCCGACCTTCCAGGTTATGTCCACAGGACACATCATCATTACCCCCTGTTGGCCCCGATTTCCTACTTTCTGAGGTCTGCGTTTAAATCTCTGCTTTGTCACATATTCACGGAACAACTTAGCTTCTCTAAGAGTCTCGTCTCCCAGGTTGAGAAAATAACATGGCGTTCCTGTGGCTCTCCTGATGGGTGAAAATGTGATCTTGGAATCAGGCAGGGCTTGCTGTGAATCCCACGTCTGGTCACCATTTGTTGTTGGGTGACCTTGGACAAGTTACTGGTGACCTCTCCCAACTTTCTCGTGTGTAAAAAGAAGACAGCTACACCTTGTCAGGAAATGAAGTCCTGAACAAAGGCGGCCAGTGCGATCATCGTGTGTACCTGGCATAAAGCAAGAACTCTGCTTCCCTCTTCCTTCCATCCCCGTTTTCCATGTCCTGAACTCCTCTTATCCTCTGTGAGCCAGCATCTGTGTCACCTCTTTGGAGGAGCCTTCCCTGACTGCTCTTGTCGCGAGCTGCTCCCTCTCCATCCTCTTTTGCCCTCCCCTGACTCCATGACCCATTATCTGTTTTCTGCATGTCTGTCTTTTCTACCAGTTGAAAGTCTCTTGGAGCAGAATTCCCATCCCCCGAGTCACCCTTATTTATACATTCCCAGGGCTTCGCTCAATGCTGGGCCCTTAGGAGCATCTGTGGTATCTGAGTGAGTGGAGCGAGTAGGCAGATGGCTGAGCAAATGAATGAATGAATGGAGCGAAGGACTGAACTCTCCTGGCCACAGAAGCCTTGGGCTGAGCAGGAGTGAGAAGTGAAACCAGAGCCAGGCTCAAAACACAGGGGTAAACTGAGTCTGCATCATCACGGAGGATCCTTCATCTCTGGGTCTGCGCATTTGCCGGGAAGGCTCGGACTGTCCTCGGATTCTCAGAAATATCTCTGGCTTCTTGCCAAGTTGCTGGTCTAAAGTGGTGGAGCAGTAGGCCCCGCCCCGGGGGATGCAACCAAGGCATTGGAGAGAAGGTGACAAAGGAGAAAATATCAGACCTGCAGGATACCAAGCCCCACAGGGACCTCAGATGGGAGGTGTGTCCAGTGCCTGCGTGCAGCCCCCAGGACTGAGATTCTGGTAGCGTGCGAAGATCTGCCTGAATCCATCTAGGCAGCATTTGTGCAGGGAAGGTTTGTGTGTCTTCCACGTGCCTCGGCTCTTAACCTGAATCTTCCAGCAGAAGGGGTCTCTCAGGTTCATTGGATCCAATCACCTGCCTCTATAGCTGAGCAAGCTTAAATGACTTCAGGCCCATGCCAGCGCTTTTCTACCCCAGTTTTCTTTTCTCCCCTCTCCTCCCTCTCCACTCAGTTCTCCTCTTCTTCTTTCCCCCTCTCCTATCCTATCTTGGGATATGAAACTTTGATTTTTATTAAGAGCAGTATTTTTTTTCAAAACTGTGGGTTGTGGCTCATTAGTGCATTATGAAATGGATTTTAAGGATCGTGACCAGCCTTTTAGAAAATGAAACAGAGCCTGGCATGGTGGCACACACTTGTAATCCCAGTGACTCTGGAGGCTAAGGCAGGAGGATCACAAGTTCAGAGCCAGCCACAGCAACTTACCAAGGCCCTAAGCAACTCAGTGAGACCCTATCTCTAAATAACAATAAAAAGGATTGGGGATGTGGCTTAGTGGTTATGCACCCTGAGTTTAATCCCTGGTACCAAAAAAAAAAAAAAAAAAAAAAGAAAGAAAATGAAATGATGGACAATATTACCCTGTGTCACACATGCAACTGATTTTGTGAAACTCCTTTTCAGCTCAGTGTGCACTGGATTGTGATAATAAATTTCTTTCCATGGGCTGTAGTCAAAAATGCTTGACGCGCAGTACCATCAAGCCGATTGTAGGCCTCAGTAGATATTTTCTAGAAGATCCAGTCCTTGAAGGGACAGTGGTAGGAGACAGTGCAGGACAACAGGCTGCATCTGGGGTCCATTCTTCTTGCTTTACTAGGAAATTATTCTTCCCATTGGTCCCTGCAGGGCCCACCAAAGTCATCGTCTTTTTAAATTATTTTATTATGGTAAGAATCTTAACATGAGATTTACCGTAACTTTTTTTTTTCTTTGCACTCAGTACTGGAGATGGAATCCAGGGCCTCACACATGCTAGGCAAGCACTCTACCTCTGAGCTACATTCCCAGCCCTCCCTTAAATTTTTAAGTGTGCTGAGCTGGGGTTGTAGCTCAGTGGCAGAGCACTTGCCTAGCATGTGTGAGGCACTGAGTTCAAGCCTCAGTACCACATAAAAATAAATAAATAAAAAATAAAGGTATTGTGTCCATCTGTAACTATAAAATATAGATTTTAAAAAATTAAAGCCGGGCGTGGTAACACACACCTGTAATCCCAGCAGCTCGGGAGTCTGAGGCAGGAGGATCCCAAGTTCAAAGCCAGCCTCAGCAATGGCGAGGCCCTAAGCAACTCAGTGAGACCCTGACTCTAAAGAAAATACAAAATAGGGCTGGGGATGTGGCTCAGTGGTCAAGTATTCCTGAGTTCGAGCCCCAGACCCAAAAATAAATAAATAAATGAACTTTTAAGAGTGCAGTACATTACTGTTGACTCCTGGTACAGTGCTGGACTGCAGATCTTCGGAGCACATGCCTCTTACTTGATGGGAACTTTATGCCCAATGACAAATGACTCCCTATTTTTCCTCCCTCACAACCACCAGTTCAAGTTCACTCTTTGATTCTATGAATCTGACTATTTTGATACTTTGTATGAGTGAAATCACGCAGTCCACAGTGGGCTCTTGGTGTTGCATCTATGGATTTTACCCAAATGGATAGAAACTATTCTTTAAAACCTGAGGATGTAGACTTTTGCTGCTGTTCCCTAAATAATGCAGTCAAATGACTCTTCCCCCCCCCCCCACGGTTTCATTGCATCAGGTATTATAAGTCATCTAGAGATGAACCAAGGGTCTCTGCAAATACTAGGCCATTTTATCATGTAAGGGCCATGAGCATCCGCTGATTTTGATACCCATGGGGATGATGCAGCCAACTGCTTGGTTGCCGAGGGATGGCTATGTTTGTCTGTCTGTGACTGCGATACACGGATGAATAAAGAAAGAAAACACAGTGTGTACATACAATGACATACCAGTCAGCCTTCAGAAAGGACAACATGTGATATGCAGCAAAATGAATGAAAATTGGGGATGTTGTGCTAAGTGAAGTAACCCCGACATTGTCACCCCTTCTTGAGTCTGTGCTCTCCTTTCCCCGGGCAGGTTGTGTACGTCACTGCGACATTCCCCTACATCATGCTTCTGATCCTGCTGATCCGAGGGGTGACGTTGCCAGGGGCCTCTGAAGGCATCAAGTTCTACCTGTACCCTGATCTCTCCCGGCTCTCAGACCCACAGGTAAGGGCTGTCTGCTCAGTGTCACCCACAGCCAGTGGAGGAAGCTTTCTGCAAAGCCCCACCCCCAGCACCCCCAGAGGCTCAATGGCCTGTTAAACAAGTTGGAAACCTGTGGACCTCTTCTCAGGACACAAAATTTTAATGCATCCATTAAATTTGTAGGAAATCAAAGATATCAAAATACAGTTACATTTATAAAAGGCAAATTTGTCACATAGGATATATAGGCACTTTTTTTAACAGTACCTTAAATAGCAAGATCCACAAGCAGGTCTGACAACTACCAGTTGAGGATTCCTTATTCCAAGTGCTTGAGACCAGAAATATTTTAGAATTTGGATTTTTTTCTAATTTTATAATATTTGAATATACATGATGAGATATCTTGGGGAGAAGACACAAACCGAAACACAAAATTCATTTGTTTCATGTATACCTTGTAGACATAGTTCAAAGGTAATTTTATACAGTACTTGTAACAGTTTTATGCATGAAATAGTGTTTCATGGTATAGGATTTTTCACTTGTGACAAATGGACGCTCAAATTCCAGAGACTCGGGTGGCTGAAGCAGGAGGATCACAAGTTCAAAGACATCCTCAGCAACTTAGTGAGGCCCTAAGCAGCTTAGAAAGATCTTGTCTCAAAATAAAATATAAAAAGGGCTAGGGATGTGGCTCAGTGGTTAAGCGCCCCTGGGTTTAATCCCCATTACCAAAAAAAAAAAAAAGGTCAGATTTTGGATTCTGGATTAATGATGCCTGGTACCGTGATTTCAAAACAACTCTGAGCATACATGATATTTTGAGATGGCAGTGCCATAGTATGAAAATATCTAGGCTTTCCATTGCTAATGGTACTAGAAGTTATTGCCTGCACTTGCATTCGTAATTGAAGAAATAGTAAATAAGGAGTTAGTTGAAAGTGCAAACTTTTTTTTTTTTCCTACCCAAGAGGACAGACCTCTGCAGAGGTGCATCTTAGTGAGAGAAACTTCTTCCTGCAGGGGTAGCTTGCAGAAAGAAAAAAAAAAAAAAAAAGAATTGGAGAAATTGGCTAACCTATTAGTCGTCTTTGGAAAGGCATTGACTGGCCTGAGTAGCAAGTACTAGTGTTTATGCCTAAGCTTCTCTAAGTGGGTGCATGGTGATGTGCCTGGGAGTTCATTAAACAAGAGATGGAGACTGAACACCTAACCTGCCAAGCCCAGTGGCTCTCGGCCTCCACTACATGGCAGAAGTTTCTGGGGAGCTTTTAAACATTCCAGTTCCAAGAGCACAGTCTAGAGCAATTAAAAGAAACTCTCTGGGGATCGTTCCCAGGTATCAGTATCTTTAAAGTTCCCCGGGCAATTTCATCACAGAAAATAACGTATTCAGAAGACATCTGGGTGGGCGAGGAAGCACCCATCTTTCTCTTAAACATCGATGGATCACATGCAATCTCTGTATAATCTTCAAGGAGAATTGAAACTTGCAAAAACTTGCAAACTTGAAACTTGCAATGTCAGGTCTGTGGTTTGGGGCCTCCCTGTGTTAGGGGAGCTTGGGTGGGAATGTCCGTGGAGTGCTGGTACATGGACCTCATCACAGTGAACGAAAAGGGACGGTGGAGTGGAAAGAGTTCTCATTTTTGTCTCAGTGTGCCCTGCCTTGCAGCTCAGGGCACCTCTAAGCACCTCAAGTGCATCCTGAGCTGTAGGCAGAATTCCCAGGAAGAAGGAAATTGGCTCGTGACTGTTGGTCTTGCCAAACCCAGCCTCTCGGGGCAGAGGCTCATCTGAAGAAGCAGCTTTAGAAAACACTGGTCTGTGTATTTTTTTGAGATCTGTACTTTCTCTGCCTTGATCCAGAGCAGATTTCCTCTTGTCTCTTCTGCTCCTAGACTTCCTTGTCCTGGTCTTTGGAAGGGGTGGTCCTGAGCATTCTCCAGATTTTCTAAATCTGATTAATCATCAGAATACCTGGGAGCATTTTTATTTATTTTATTTATTTTTTTAGTTGTAGTTAGACACAATACATTTATTTTATTTATTTTTATGTGGTGCTGAGGATCAAACCCAGGGCCTTGCACATGCTAGGCGAGCACCCTACTGCTAAGCCACAACCCCAACCCCCTGGGAGCATTTTTAAAAAGAGATTCCAGGCCCCAACCCTGGAGATTCTGGCACCTGGGCATCTGTCTGTCTTTTTTTGTGTGTATGTGTGTGGTGCTGGACATAAAATCCAGGGCCTTGTACAGGCTAGACAAATTTCTCTATCACGAAGCTACATTTCCCAGCCCCTGGTCATTTCTGTTAAGAAGCTTCAGAAGGGATGAGGATTTATTTAGCTCAATGGCAGAGCTCTTGCCCAGCATGCACAAGGCCCTCAGTTTGGTCCTCAATCCTGAGAAAAATAAGAAGCTTCAGAGGTGATTTTGATGATGGAGAAAAAAAAAAAAAGGTTGAAAATTTCGAGTGCTCTGGTGCATGCCTGTAATCCCAGCTGCTCAGGAGGTTGAGGTGGGATGATCACAAGTTCAAAAAATAAAAATAAAAGGTCTGAGCATATAGCTCCATGGTAGTGCACCTGTGGATTCAATATACAGCATTGCAAAAAAAAAAAAAAATAGTTCAGAAAATCTGGTTGGTACCTATGACCTTAGAATCCTATACAGAGAGAGACAGACAAATAGGAGCACAGAGGTAAGGCCAAGCCATTCACCGTTCATCTCTTCTGCCCTAATCATCCCAATTTCCTATCATTTCCTTCCTTTCAGGCCCCGGCTTCCAGGCCAGTTGGTATCCGCAGGGCTGTTCTGGGGAGCAGTCACTTGGAGTATCAGGGAGCACACTGAACTGGGAGTTGGGAAGTGGGTTCTCCTGGTTCTGCCACTCATCCTGACCTTAGACAAGTTCCCTCCCTTTCCCATTCTGGGCCTGAGTTTCTCGCTTGATGGTATGAAAGATTGAATTCAGTCTGTGATTTTTCAGAGTAGAGCCAGACAGGCCACTTTTGCAGGGGCTGGCAAACTATGGCCCTTAGTCCAAATCCATCCCTCTGCACATTTTTATTTTGATTCCTGTCTGCAGGAGTCCAAACACCTCTGCTCAGGTGTTTTTCTTGTTTTTCCATTAATAACAGATTGGTAGAATCAGCAGTGCTCCACAATGAATTACACAATGAAACTCTGTGGAGAAATAGAATAAGCTCTCCAAGGATGCATATAGAAATGAGTCTGTTGGTGGCTTAAAAATGCAAGATGCTGAATAACTTTTTTATTAGTACATTGTAACTTTATATAATAGTCACATTGTTATATATTTGCACATGTGCAAGATTTAACAATATAATCTGGCACTGAGTAACTTTTAAAGTTTCTGACATTTTTTAAAAGAAGAAGGACTTCAGAGTAGATATTCATGTTTGCTTGAATTTGCATAAATTAAATAAAAACTAATAGAAGTGATTATTCATAGCAAATGGGCCCAGAATTTAAAAAAAAAGAAAAGTCTATTTTAATAATTCCCAGTCATATTTTCAGAGTCTGGAATTTTTATGGGGCATTTTATTGAGTGCAGTTATGTCTGCCTAACATGACCCATTGCAACCTGCAGAATTCCAGGCTCTCAGAAGGAAACGTGTGCCCTATGGATCACACAGCTCGTACAAATGGTCTAGGTGTCAGCCTCAGTGGAATTCAGTATCCCAGGCACGCAAAAACAGCCACCTCAGGGAGTGCCACGGGGAACCTCTTAGAAGCTGTGTTCCCAAATATCAGCCAAGAGCCAGCCTACAAGCAGGACTTCCCTGCATACCTGCAAAAACTCAAATATTTACTCTTTTGCTCTTCCTAGAAAAAGTTCGATGACCTCTGTCCTGGAGAATCCCCATGGGCACATGAGCAGGGAGAATGGCCTCTGACCCTCACATGACCCCACTCTGTCCATGTGGCTCTCTACTTCTGCTATCGCCACCCTACTTCAGGCCACCACCATCTCCCATTTGAAAGCTAGACTAGCCTCCCAACTGGTCTTCCAGAAATGACTTTTGACCCCTCTAGGCCACTCCCCATCTAGCAGCAGAGTGATCTTTTTGAAATGTGAATCCATCAGGCACCTATTGCTTATATCCCCTCTAGGGTTCCCTGTGGTCTTTGGAATAAGATCCAAATAGTAGGTCCCCCAACGTCTTCCAGAAGGCTGTTTGTTGCTGCATCCCCTGTTACACTCTCCCTCTTTCAATTCATTCCAGATAATGGCCTCCTTTTAGGATCACAAATACATGTGTTCCTTCTGCCTCAGGGTCCTTGCACATGCCTTTCCTATATTGGAACTGTTGACTCCTTCCCCCACAGAACCTGCCTTCCCCACTGTGGCTAACATCCACTCATGCTTTAGGATTCATTTTAACCAGCCTTCTCAAGCAAGACTTTCTCAACTGCCCACCATGCACCATTACCACCCAGTACTCCATACTTATTTTCCAAAGTACCTATGTTTGCAGTGAAATATCTATATAATTATATGTGTATGTGTGCACATTTTTATTCATTTGATATCCATTTATTTAACAGGTATTTGCTGAGTGCCTCCTTGGTGTCAGACATGCTTATGGGTATTTAAGATATGGCAGTCAACAAAACAGATCCCTGCCTCAGGAATCCTGTATCGTAGTTAGGGCAGAAGGCACTAAACAAAATTGAAATGCAAAACCTAGAATCTACTAGACGGTGACAGGTACCCTGCAGACAAAGTAAGGCAGAGAGAGGGGCTGGAGTGCTGGAGAGAGAGAAGGATACTCCACAGGGTGACCCAGGAGGGCCTGGCTGAGGAGACAGCTTGGGACAAAGTCTCATCTGTCCTCCCCACCAGTGGCCCGGTGCCCAGTACATAGTAAGGTGCTCAGTAAATATTTGTTTCAATGAGTATAAGAGACAGAGCTCTTTCAGTGTTTGAAAATGTTGTGGTTCTTTTAACAAAAAGTCTAGCAACCTCAGGTTACCAAATCTGTAAGCTGT